GATCTTGTGTGTTGTTTTAGTTGTCTGTTGCTATATAACAAACAACCTCAAAGCTAAATAGCTTTCGATGGTTTTGTGGGTCAGGAAATTGGGCAGGGTTCAGGTGGGTGACTGACTTTTCTCTTCCATGTGGTGCTGACAGAAGTCTGTCAGTGATTTTTAGCTGATGAATGGACTAGTCTGCATGGTCTAAGGTCACTCGTATGTCTGGTGCCTTAACAGACATGGCTGGAAGGCTGCAGCTGTCAGAGTGCCTATATGTGGCCTCTTTAGTATGGTGGCCTCCGAGTAATAGGACTTCTGACATGGCAGTGCAAGGCTCCACGGATGAGTGTTTCAGCAGACAGGAAGCCAGGTGGCCTTTTATAACCTACCCTTGGACGTCACAAAGACTCACTTCTGCTCTGTTTTATTGGTTGAATCAGTCACCCAGATTTAAAAGAAAGGGGGACACAGACCTTACTTCTCAATAAGGGGGCGGGGAGGCGGAGAATTTGTGGCCATGCTGTAAAACCACTACATGTGCAGAAAAGTGAATTAAAAAACAAATTTGACTTTCACATTTTATATACACACATGGACTGTGCTACAGTTTGAGGTTGTCACCATCAGATGTAGTGACCAGCTCTGCATCTATCTCCCAGTCTGTCCAGAATATGTTCTTTGAATGCTTTAGTTCAAAAGGAGTCATTTTATCTAGTTGCTGCATGCGAGGCTTTTCCACCCCTGCTTCTTTTCACATAACCTCAGTAATGTTGCTTGAAATTGTGCTTCAGTGTGTCTTTAAACCTTGGTCTGAGACTCATTTACAGAAAAGAACAGTGAGGTAGGGAAGTCATGTCTCCATTTCTTCTTCCTAGTATCGTATCTGCCAAATGCTTTCTTAGATCGCTTCGAAGATGCCGGTTTCAGCAAGTGACATTGTGATTCCTTTTCCTTTCAGGTACCTGTTTCCTAGGCAGCTACTGATCCAACATTTCTGGACCCCAAAGCAACAAATTGATTTCTTAGATATCTATCATGCTCTCCGGAAGCAGTCCCACCCAGAAATCCTTGGTTATTTAGAAAGGGTTATCCCTCTCGTTTCCGATGCAGGACTCCGGTGGCATATGACAGAGCTGTGCACCAAGGTATTCCTCCAGCTAACCTTTCCTGCAAACTAGGACTCTTGTTAGATCCAGTTTGCACTAAAACTAGGAAAGAGGGCCAGTCAGGAGCTTCCTAACCTCTACCAATCTCTTGGCTCTCCCAAGATACAGCATGGTACCCACCCAGCAGTACATGACATCCTGGCTTTGAGAGCGTGTTTCTCTAACCATCCTCTGGGCATGAACCAACTCCATGCTTTGCAAATGGTGAGCACTTGGAGGCTTTCTCTGTTCCGCAGCCTCTCCTTGCCTCAGGTTTTGTGTGTGGTGATACTACATTGACTTTCTCCTCCTATGTTGTTGTGTTACAGAGAGCCTTGAGTCGAGCCATGCTTCTCACACCTTATCTGCCTTCTTTCTTGTTGAGACACCGATTAAAGACTCACACCACTGTAATTCACCAGCTGGATAAAGCTTTGGTAAAGCTGGGGATTGGCCACCTGACCCCGCAGGAAGTGAAATCGGTAAGAACTTGACAGCAATATCAACTCTGAATCCTTTGGTGGGCTTTTGAGCTACAGAACTGGGAGCTTACAGAGACCTTCAGGTTTTGCTTGTTAGAACGAAGCCCAAACTCTTTATTCTTTCACTTCATTTCTGTGTCTTTTTTCCTCAGTGAACTTAACTCTTGAGAGGGAATTGCCCAGAGTTGTTTTGGCTTATGTTTCTTTTCTTCTGGCCCTTCAAAAATCCAGGGACACTGTTCTTTAGACCTACTGTTCTTGGTTATATGGGCCTCTTTGCTGGTCTTCTTGTCTATCGTAGTTCAGATTGTCATGGAGAAAGGTTTTTTATGGGGATGAGGTTGTAACTTACTTAGAGGAGATTTTGAATTATTAGTGGGTTTACAGTGCATGGCCATACTATGCGATTATTGAGGACTGTTTCTCTTCTGGGTGATATAGGCTTGTTATCTTCGTGGCCTGAATTCTACCCATGTTGCTGAAGAGAGGTGTCGAACTTGGCTGGGAGAATGGCTACAGATTTCCTGCAGCCTGAAAGGTAAGATCTGTCCCCGTGGTTATGCCACTAAAATCCAAATAATTTTTATATTTTATTCTGAGATTATTTTGGAGTTGGTTATTAAGTACTATGAGACCCTTACCTAATGTGTGTGTGTGTGTGTGTGTGTGTGTGTGTGTGTGTTTGTGTTTGTGTATAATTGAAAGGGCATAAACTCATTTGCCTATAGGGGCTAAGCAGGTAATGAAGTAGACTGTGCAAGACAAGAGGCAGCAGTGGGGACTGGGAGCCAAGACTGCATGCATGCTGGTCTGAAGCAGTTTCTTGGCCTTAGCACTATTGATGAGTCGTGGGGGGCTATCCTGTGCATTAGAGGGTAACTAGCAGTATCCCTGCTCTCTACACATTAGATGCCAGTAGCACCGTCCACCCCAGTTCTATCAAAAATGTCTCCCGACATTGCTGGATGTCCACTGGGGGAAAGGGGAATAGAATTATCCCAGGTGAGAAGCTCCAGTCTAAAGGCATTCAAATTCAGAACAAAAACACTCAGAGTGCCTGGCTGGCTTAGTCAGTAGAGCAAACAGCTCTTGATCTCAGGGTTGTGAGTTCGAGCTCCATGTTGGGTATAGAGAGGACTTAAAAATAAATCTTGGGGCACCTGGGTGGCTCAGTCAGTTAGGTGTCCAACTTTGGCTCTGGTCATGATCTCACGGTTCATGAGTTCAAGCCCCACGTCGGGCCCTGTGCTGACAGCTCAGAGCCTGGAGCCTGCTTCGGATTCTGTGTCTCCCTCTATCTCTGCTCCTCCCCTGCTCACATTCTGTCTCTCTCTCTCAGAAATAAATGAAACATTTAAAGAAATGCTTAAAAATTTAAAAAATCTTAAAAAAAAACAAACACAGAATCAAAACCAGTTGGCTAAATAAAAAGTATCTGAGGGCAGGAGTTAGGCCTGTGGCTGGAACCTTTGGCTGGGCTTTGATGTTTTCTAAGCCTGTGAATATCAGGGTAGGCCTACTAATCTCCTTGGAGCCACGAAATGTTTCCAGAGCACCAGCTGTAGCAGAAGAATCCCAAGAGTGACAGTAGTGTTCACTGCCATTACCACCTCTGAATTTTCTCCCACCACCACATGAGGGCCAGGAAATGAGGATGCAGAGAAAGGAAAGGAAAGCTTACCTGCAGGGACTGGGGTGAAGCGGGGGACCTTTGACAACAGTAGCCTCTCTTGATGTCACACGTCCCTGCTCTTGGCATCCAGACTCCAGGATCAAGCCCTGCCCCCCCGGGGCAGTTAGAAGGCTGACTGTTCCCTGGCCAGACCATTAACAGTGGTGCTGTTTTCAGAAGCGGAGCTGTCCCTCTTGCTACACAACGTGGTCCTGCTTTCCATCAACTACACCGGCTCACGGCGCTGAGTGAACGTGGAGCGGATGGCCTCGTCCCGCAGTCACACGGCAGCGTGGTACCAACAGCACTGGCCGGCAAAGCGTCTGCGTGCCCTGGCAGGGGTGTGGGAGGCAGAGGAGTGGGTGCCACGGGCTTCCCAGCGAGGGACCCGTGAGGGAGGGAGCTGGAACTGCGACAGACCCTCCTACCAGAAGCGTCATCCCGACTTCCTCACAATCAGCCAGAGCTGGCAGCAGCCTCTGTACTGGGCTTTAATTGTGATGTTTTAAGTTCAGATCCTAGGAATTGAGCTTTGGCCCCAGGTGGGGCGAGTCCTAGCAGCCTCGGACTTAACCACTGCCACATTCTTTACAGCTGTGTTCTCCTTACAGTTTCCGGCTGGGGAGAGGGGCAGCACTGTTGAAATTGGAGCATTTGCATCTGTGCGTGCAATGCAATGCTGCCCTCAGTCCTTCTTATGACCAAAAATAGGCTTATTTTTATTTTTATTTTTATTTTTGGTCCCCTCACTGGGTTAACCACTCCCTTTGCGTTTCAAATCCTTTAAACAGCTTTTTTTTTTTTTTTTTTAAAGCCAATAGTTATTCCTATATGGGAACATTCTAATGGAAAAGATAAAAGGAAATACAAGTGGTACTTAACCCTTTCCGCGTTTATAGCCTTCACCCCACCTTGTCTTAATTTCCGGGCTGTGGTGCAGCCTCTAAGGATCTTAAAGTCCGCTACCTCCGCTGTGTTGCGGCAGTCCAGCCAGCTGTAACCAGCAGGGGCCGCCTTTGGGCCCTGGATGAAACTTCTAAGGCACTAACGACGCCCCGCTCGGGGTACAGGAGCGGCCCGCGTCGAGAGTAAGTGGGGTTTAGCTTTTGCCCATGTACAGTCCTGACCTGTAGTAACTTATTGTTAAATGCATGAGGTGCTGTTTTAAAGCCAAGTAAAGACTGCCTGAAACCAGATGCTGGAAGTGACTTACACATACTCTTATTTTGCTACAACTCCTTTGACAAGACTGACATAACCTAACCAGAGGAGAGGTAGTCGGTTGGGATAGAAACTTTTGATGGGATGGAAGTTCTGAGGGAACGGAGTTGACATGGATCCTCTTCATTCAATTTTAAGACGATAACAAGGAATAGAGAACTTTATATATTACATACACATAATAAAAGTTGCATATATATGATTATAAAGAAAATGGGATTAGCAAATGAGCCCCCAGGGTATGGACCCCAGATGGAAAAGTTTCCACAGGGGAGGATCGAGTGTGCTCCAGCGTAAGGGATGCGTAAGGGCTACGATGCAAGTCAAGCTCTTGATGCTCCAAAGAGAATGTCCTGTTTTTCTATCATAAAACATTTCTGTTGTTAACATTAATCTCTAACTGACCTAACTGGTTTTATATGCAACGCTGGAGAAGCACCCTTTCTCTAACAAGTAACTAAATTGTGGCCTGCCAAGGTAAAGAATAACACACCATTCTTTTGAATATTTCTTTAATATTACATTTAAATATTCTCTTTAAATACAGCATTATCACAATGTAAAGGACCTAAAAGGCAAAAAAAAAAATTTTTTTTTGTTTTCAGAGAACCAGACAAGCTTTGGATTCACACTGAAAATACTACCTGTATACAGTATATGAGAAAGGAAACTGCAAAATCACAAGAGTTGCAGTAATAAGAGACTTCTTTTATCTCGGCCTAGACTGAGTTGGGACTAAAGCTGTCTGGTCCTGTGATCAGAGGCCTAGGCTTAGCTTTTCTAGCAACCATGAGCTAGGATCGTGTCCAGCTCAGGTAGCACCAGAACGAGATGGACTGGGTTGTAGAAAAGGCCTTTTGCTTAAGACAATTAATGCTCAGTGTTAATATTCAGCATGTAAAAACTTGGGATCACCGGGAGTCAGAAGTGTCTGTTACTGGAGGGATAGACTTGGATTAAGAAACTAGGTTTTCAGAAAAATCAAATCTCTTGGGGGTTGGCAATGAGTTTAATAGTGAGATTCCAATTCGTGGTTTGATCTGAAAGGCTAAAGTGTCTCTAACTGAGCAGGTGGAATCCACTTCTGAAGGTGGGGCTGGAGCCTCCCTGAGGAGGGAATGTATAGCACCCACCCTCCCCTTCCAGTACAAGCTTTCAGGAAGAAAGTCGAATTTGCGATTAAGCTTCAGCCTTATTCAAGGGGGTGACCGATCGTGGGGGGAGTGTGGCTTCGCTTGGGATAGTGTATACATATCAGGTGCTTAAGACTCTCAACTCTTGTTTTGTGAGGCCAGAGGATGGGGTGAGACAAGGTCTTGTACTGAAGAACTCCCCTCCAAATGTAAAACCAGGCAACACCAGGAATCTACTGGAGAGGCAGACTGGGTTAAAAGATAGATCTGTGTAAGTACAAGGCCACATAGGCTCAGTGTAGAGACTTCCTAGGTGAAATGCTGCTGTGACGTACATAAAGGGTGCTCTAACGTCCCGCAAGAAAAGGCTCTGTGAGCAAGGTAAGTAGGAAGAGTTCTCCCCCCACCAAAAGCAAACAGTTTTCCACTTGTTCTTTCTTGGTCAGTAAACCATACCAGAAGTGAAGCCTGATCTAAGGGACGCTAAAGGAGAGTGTTTTGCTCCCTACTGACTCCATTTTAAAATGGAGGCAAAGAGAACTAATAAAAAGAATTCAGTGGTGTTCAGCGGAGCACATCCTAGAATATAAGCTGGACATAAGAGGAACAGGAACCGGGTCCCCCCACGGAGGGAAGAACCAAATTTGAGTCCCATTCTGTGGATCTCAAAAGTTACAGTCAGAACTTGAACTCTTTGGAACCTGGGAACTGTGTGTAGCAGTTAAGAATTAGTTTGGCTTCCAATTTTTATGGATCAAGATGGAGGGACCCAATAAACATTTGCAGTTGTCGGGGCGGGGGGGTAGTCTCTAACCCTGCATATCCAAGGACCACAAGGGTAGTACAGAAAGAAAAGAACAAAAACTAGTTGGTGGCTTTAGATTGCCACATCCTGCGTTCCTTTAAAGCCCAAACCTCTCAGAGCGGGGGGAAACCTGGCTGAAAAAGCAGACATGGCACAGATGAAGGCCTCTTCCTTGTGGACAGCAGCCTCCTCCTGCCGCTACTTTCGGACATAGGTAATGCTCCATCTGTGCCTCCCGTGGGACATGTGAGCCCCGGCCTGAAGCTGCCTGACGGTGCTGGCATTACAGACACAAGCCTTGCGCTCCTTAGGCCACATTCCCCGCCAATCTAGCTTTTTCTTCAAGGGAAAAAGAAAGCAGGAGGGGTGGGGGGAAGACAAATAGACAAGTTTAACCCTAGTACCTAACAGCATGTGAAAGAATTCAAGTTACAGACCAGGAATCCCCAGTGTGGGGAACAGGTTAGAGAACACCAAAATGTCAAATATCAACTTATTTACCAAATAGGGGGCCAAGGAAGGTAGGTTACGTTTTTATAAATCCTGGAGGTTTTCTACACACGCAGAGACCCTCCTGCCCATTCCTCTAGATTTGACCAGCTGACACTCCAACTGCGTTATGATACACCAAAGTGGGATAGCAGGGTGACCGATGAGAAAAACGAGCGTGTTCCCCACCTGGGGCTCAGGAGAGGAGGAGGAGGGGCTTTGCCACGCTGTTCAAATTATTGTGTTCTGGTCCCTACGTAAAGAATAGCTGCTCGAATTACCCAGCTGCTCCTGCGAGATCCTCGTTCTTTGTTCCAATGGCCCAGAAAGCTCACTATTCAGCACTGGGCAGCCTCCTCTGCCCCAAGACTCTCCCCACATCTAGCCGGGACTGGTCTCCTTGGTTCTGTTTACCCTTTAAAAAATACTTGTACAAACAATTCTTTCCCACCCATCCCCCAAAGACCCCAATAAAATAACATGGGAGTAGCAGCTGCTTCTACAGTTTTGTTTTGAAATGGTGTTAGATAAAATAAGGGAATAAATAGAGAACGGGTCAGAGGCAGAATCTCCATCCCCGAGTCACACTGCCAGAGGGAGTTCTAGCGAGGAATCTTCAGGGGGCCTGTCCTCACTCTGCTGTGAGGTTTTCTCCACCGCACAGCTCTCTTCACTGTCCGTGCGGAAGGGGAGGCTCGAGGGGGACCAAGAGGGGCGGAAGTCTTCATTCTCAGGCTCGTCGGGGTTACAATCTTCGGGCACTAGCGCTTCTAGAGTGGACGTTTTCCCCACTTCTGATTTACACAGGGCAGCTGGGTCTGTGGGGCTACAAGCCACCAGTGAGGTAACCGGGAGAGAGAAGACGTTCAGATCCTTCTCCTTGGGGAAAGAAGGTGGGACTTCTTCTGCACTAGGCTCTCCTTTCACCCCCAGGACCGGCCTCTGCTCCACCTGATAGTAGACCAGGGGCCCACTGTTCAAGTAGGATGGGCTGTTCACTGCCGACGCGGCTGGGTGGTCTGAGTTCTCCGCGAAGCACAGGACTGAGGAGCCTGGGGGCAGCTGAGCCTGGATGAGAATGGGGGCAGTGAGGCCCGGGCACAGCTCTTCGGGAACGGCCAGAGGCTCCTCCAGGATGCACACGCCCAGGCTCTCTATGCTGGAGTCCAGGCTGGCGCTAGACCCGCGGGAGTCTTCCTCTGCCTTGAGCCGCTCCAGTTCCTCCGCACTCTGCAGGTGCATTACTGCTGTCTCGTTCTCAGCAATGAACTCCTGGAAGTCCTGTGTCTCAGAGCCCTGGGCTCCTGCCAGGCTGCAACTGGCCGTGGGTGAGGGCTCCTCGTCTGGGGCTGGGGGGCGGCTCACCTGCCGCTTGCTCTCCAGCTCCAGCTTCATGATGGTGTGGAGGTAATGAGTCCGGACCCGGATTGGATTAAATTCAATGCGCCCAGCCATGTTCCCACAGCCGTCCCGGGAACAACCACATGGAAAGGACATGCGATCCACCTGAGGAGGGGACAAGGAGGTTGAGGGAAGATGAGAACCCACAGATTTAATAACGGAGACAGGAGACCTCAGCTGGCAAACACAGGCAGCTGGGATTTGAGGTCTCCTTACAAGAGGAACAACCAATTCAAAGTGTAACGTGCAACGTGGTGACCTAAGAGCACGAGGGGGTAGTTATCAGACCACTCGCGTTCTCATTCCAGCACAGCCATGAATTAGCAGTTATGACCTCGAGAAGGTCCTCGGTCTCTCCAAGGCTTGGTTTCCTCTTCTGAGTAAAATGCGGCCAAAAATCTTGTCAAAGGGCCTTTCCAGTCGGAAAGTCCAGAGATGACCTCTCTGCATGCTGACAGTCCTCAAGGAAGGAATTCTTGTGCCTCAGACTTTTCCAGAACTTACCTGGTATACTGAGAAAACAAAGACTGGGGCCCAAGCCTAGTGCCTTCTGCAATGACAGGCTTGGGAATGTTCGTAGAAGGTCTAGCTGCTCCAAAGCAATACATTCTAGGGAAAGTGTCTCAGTTTGCTAAGGTGCTATAATGACAAAGTAATGGCCAGCTTTTCACTGACTGCTTCATTCTCCCCAGATGTTGACCAGTTTAGTTCTGAAACAGTTACGGACCAGGAATATCTGGAAAGGGGATCCACTCTACCTCCTTATTTCCCTTTTGGATCCCAATAAAGAAAAAAGCCCCCACACCAAACATAAAATAAAAAACATAAACAAATGTGTGTGTACAAATACACCAGGTCTTCCTAAGCTACCAACTTCTAGAACTCTCCATTCCAGTTCTTAGGAACAGTCCAATTCTTAGGACTATTCTCAGGACTCTAAAACAGAATGATATATCACGGGACTTCAGTCTGAAAAGCAGTATTTGGCCAGAGCAGCTACAGCTATTACCTACCTAAAAATACGAAAGAAAAGGTTGTTTAGGCGACATTCAACCACAAGGGTTCAGCACCCACAGCCTACACGTTCCAGATAGATTTCATCCTTCGGGATGGTATTGCTCTTTTCAGTTGAGTTATGCCTTCTAAACAGTCCCTTGTCGGAAGGCCAGCAAGGGGATGAGGTCTTCTATCTTTTAAGATCCTAGACAAGGGGTACCTGGGTGGCTCAGGTGGCTAAGCATCTGACTTCATGATCTCACAGTTCTTGAGTTCAAGCCCCATGTTGGGCTCTTAGCTGTCAGCACAGCCTGCTCTGGATCCTGTCCCCCTCTCTCTCTGCCCCTATCTCACTTGTTCTCTCTCATACTCTCTCAAAATAAATTAATTTAAAAAAAATTTTTAACTGAAAAAAAAAAAAAAATCCTGAACTTAAGATCCTTGACTTAAGCTCTGCCGGGCCAAGTTTGATCCTAAATTATAGGATCTGAGAATTACTTTGAGTTTCACAAAATTGGAGTAGAGGTCCTATGAGTGTTTGAAGATACAATCCAAAGGCCTAACTCCTCTCTCTGCTTCCTTTTATCTTACACAATCAATATTTAAGAAACAGGTACTAATGTTAAACCTACTAACCCCTGTTCCCCCATTTGCTGACAGCTGCTCCTTATCACCCCTGAGGCGAGAAACACAGAAAAGGCCATTGCTATCGCCACAGCCTAGGAATCCTGCCATGCCTGGTATTCTCCCTGGTGGAGGAGGGCTATGAACTATGCAGGCTCACACTCATGCGGAATCCACCCACGGATGACGGGCAGCCTCCCATGTTCACTGGTACCCACATCATGTCCCCCAGACTCCGGAGTACATACATTATCTCAGGCCAACTTGGACTCACCTGGCATTTAATCCCAGCCTGACTACAGGCACATGCTTCTGGGTCACAGTACAGGCGACAGTCACAACCACATTCTTCCCGTGACAGGCGGATGGCTCTCAGCTCTTGCTTCTCTTCAGCATCAATGCGGTGGACCCCCGAAGCCCTCAGCAGGGCCCGGCGCCGCTTGGTGGGCAGGGGCTGCAGGAAAAAGTAATCATCCACCTCCACGTTTTCCACATCAATATCTTCATCTGAAACGTCATCCAGGGTCAGGCCATCGGCCTCCACTGACTCCACCGTCCCATTCTTGGTCAGCTGCCAGGAGACAGGAAGGAAAGGTCAGCCTCGAGTATTATCCACAGCCACCTCCTCACAGTGGCTGTCTAGAGCAGTCCAACGGAGTCCAACTGAACCTTGTGCGATGATAGAAATATCCTTGCTGCCCGCAGCACAGGTGGCTACTGGGCACTGGAAATGTGGCTAGAGCAAATGAGAAGCGAACGTTTTCATTTTATTTAACTGTAATTAAGTATATAGCCACACGGGGCACATGGGTGGTGCAGTCCATTAAGCGGCGGACTCTTGGTTTCGGCTCAGGTCATGATCTCATAGTTTGTGAGTTCAAGCCCCACATTGGGCTCTGCGCCGGTGGTGGGGCACTTGCTTGGGATTTTGTCTCTCCTTGTCTCTGCCCCACCCCCACTTGTGCTCCTTATCTCTCTCTCAAAAATAAACAAACTTAAAAAATAAAAATAGCCACATGTGGTTAGTGGCTACCATATTGGATAGCTTAAGAGAAGACATCTAGAGCAGGAAAGCAGGAAGCCTTACGTAGCTCTGTAGTTCTAACGCCTTCCTGTTGACTCAGGGGATATCACCTTTGTAGATCAAAGTTTCTCAAAACCTGTGTCTCATCCTCCCTCCTACAAGATAATATACACCCTCCTCCATTCCCAGATGCGTGTCCCATTACTTCAGCTAACTTGCCTTCCAACACAGAGAGGAGAAGGTTTATCAAAGGCTGGATGTTCCTTGGATGGAGAGAGAATGTTGTAAACACCCTTCAGTCTGCACCCCCAAGGGACCCAAAACCACATTCTGGGAAGCAGAGTACACTAAAGTGTAGTACAAGACCACCAGGTCTTTGTCAATGAGCCTACATCTTCACAGTGTCAACAATAGTCTGCATACACAGAAGAGCTTCGTTTCATTGGGAGGAGGGAAAACATGAGCAAGTTGTTAACGGCTACCCAAGAAAGCTCTCACTTCCAACCCACGGCCTAGAACATATTCTTTCTCCTAATACTTTTTTATTTGACTTCAAAGAAAAGCTGTCTGTGAGGTAGGGTGCTTTCTATAGCACTAAGGTACTATCTGCAGGCAGAAATCTGGGTCCTCCGGGCTCCGGAGGATAGAGAGCCAGGAAAGGGAGTCTTAGTGGAAGGACAGTTTGAAGACAATCTGGCTGAATGAGGTTTGAAAACTCCCTAGAGAATTCAAGTGAAGAAAATGAGACCTCATAATTCCCAGAGCTCTGGAAGCTACGAGCAGGATGAGCCAGGCTGCTGGAGGGGCTGGCTTATTTCATCAGACGGCTACAGATTGGTGCTAGTAAAGGAACAACTCCTGGGAGACGTGATGCAACAGGCTGGCTAATAAGCTCCACACCTGTTGTGTGTGTTTGTGGGAAGGTGGGGGAGAGGAGACAGATACAGTGGTGCTTCTGGGGGTTTCCTGGTCTGCTGTTTGTGTACCAGGCAGACCAATGACGAGGGGCCTTTCTGCAGACCTCAGGATTGCTTCTGCCTATTTCCCTGGGGATGGCTTCCCCCTAATCACCCTCCCTCTTACTGTCCTCTCAAGGGAAAGAGGCTAGAGACGCAATAGAAGGAAACCCACACAAATATAAGAATATAACACGATAGAGTGGCATTTCAAATCCAGCGAGAAGAGTCCTCTGGCATTAAATGGTTTGGGACAACTGGATATTCTTGGGGAAAAAAACCCAAAAAACAGATTTCCAATTCATACTTCCCATAACATGGATTCCATATGAATAAAAGGCCAAAATTACAAAGAAAAATAACTGGGGCGCCTGGGTGGTTGGGCGCTCAGTTGGCTGAGTGTCCCACTTCGGCTCAGATCATGATCTGATGGTTTCGTGGGTTCCAGCTCCATGTCAGGGTCTGTGCACCGACTGCGCGGAGCCTGCCTGGGCCACTCCGCCCCTCCCCTGCTCGCGCATGCGCTCTCTTTCAAAACAAATAATGAAAAAAGCGGTTTTTAAATGAAAGTATTAGAAAAATTATAGGTAATTAAGGCTATAAAATGCCAGCCGTTTTTTTGGTTTGGTTTTGTCGGCAGCCTAAAAGGAAAATAAATATTAGATGGCACATGGACCATGCAAAAGATGTATTGAGGTCAGCAGTCTCCCCTGCAGAGTGCTAAAGACAGGAAAACTTTCTAAGAGAGTAAACTGGACCTGGGGAGGGCAGAGGAAGGGTTTTCTCTTGACGACGAAAGGCGTATTGGCTGCCACTAGTGCCGCTGTTCCTGAAGTCGGCTACTTAGCAGGAATCCCGTGCCAGCCTGGAGTCTGCTGAGCTTTGTCCCCAGACCTCCTACAAGGGAGGCCACAGAACAGGACGGAATCCCGCTGTGTCAGGTTATTCCTCTACCAGATGCAGGAGACAGGTTTCTTCTACGGAAAGGGAAGAAAGCCCTCACTGCAAACGATGAGAACAGTGTTTATTTCCCCAGCTGTCGCTATAGCAGCAGGAAGGTGATAGGGTCAGTGACGGAATTCCTCAGACTCAAGAATGGGATGCCTCCATGTCATTCCAGATAGAAAAACAGGTGTAAGGCTTTGGGAGTAGGCTGAGGGAAGGAGGCACAGCTCTCACAGGGAGCAAGGGACGTGCTATCGTTACCCACACCCCCTGCCATCAGTTCTCCAACCACACCACAGTCGGCTGTGGCTCCTTAGGGGGTCACCCACCACCCTGGAAATAATGCAGCCTCCTCTTTCAATATGGGTCAGCAGGCTTTGGGCCCACCAGAAACGTGGCCAGGCCCAAAGTGGTGTTCTCCAAATCTGGAACCAGGAACTCAGGGGGAAATTGTGGCCTGATGGAAACTGTGGCTCTGGAGTGCCAGGCAGTGCTGACAGCAAATGGGTGGCTGTGAAGAGCCATCCAGTGGGAGAGGGGCAACAGACGGCAGGCCCAGGACCTTACAAAGTGAAATAACTATTTGCTGACACTGTCAGTTACACATAAGAGTCTAACACGTAGAGGTGATGGGGGTTATGGAAATGGCAGGGTCCTATCAGAGAACGTAAAGGATCTAAAGCCTGTTCTGTGCATTGGGATGACAGACGATCAGTTGACAAGAAATTGAAACACTGTGCGCCCTCATATTCCAAGGGTGGCAGCCTTGAATGTTTGTAGATATTCACATTTTAAACTTTTTAAAAACTCTGCTGAGGGTAGGGAATTCTAGGGAAGCCATTTTGCTGTCCCGTGTAGACTCCCCGCCAGAGACAAAAACAATGGTGTCTCAGACGGAGATCTGATTCCAAATCTGAGACTTCTCCTTAGAAAGATCTGGAATCCCTACATGCCAAGGGCAACACATTCAAAATAAATAAATAAATAAATAAATAAATAATCCAGAGACCTAGACAGTTTTCCATTTTATCTTGGTACGTGGTTAAATACCAGACCCCAGACCCCTTAGGCACCTTCATCTTCTTGGCATGGAGCTTTTCCTCCTTCAGGTGTTCACGAAGAATCTCCCGATGGTTCACCTCCTGCTCCTGGGCAAACTCACAAAGCGTGTAGCTGCGCACGGAGTTATGGCGCTGGGCCATGCCCAGAGAGCTCCCGCCCTGGCTGGGCACACTGGTAAAACCTTGGCGCCGTGCAAAGTAGTAAACGGTCACCTGGTCAAAGCGCACATTCTTCCTCCGCAGCTGCTTCTGCCGCTTGAGGATGGATGTGGCTGAGAAGGGAGCACAAAGCAGTGTTACTAACCAGGAATGGCCTGCCTGGGGGTCTCGTTCTTTCTCACTCATCTGGGTGCTCAACTGTTGTCCAAAGTGCTCTCTGTACCTTAGGAAACTTCAAACTGTCACATCATAAATGCACAGCTGGGAAGGACCTTGAACATCAGCTGGTCCAAACCACTGCCTCCAGGCGGACTTCACCCAGACAGAGGAACACAACATCTGATTTTGGACATCAGCTGGGAAGAGGATCTCTAGACAATCTTTTCAGGATATAACTATCTATACAGCTTCACTGTCCAGTACAGCAACTACTAACCACATGTGGCGATTTCAATTTAAGTTGCGCAGAATAAAATTCAAAATTCACCTCTTCAGTTACACTAATCACATTTAAAAAAATTTTTTTTAAATGTTTTTATTTTATTTCTAGGAGAGAGAGAGACAGTGTGAGCAGGGGAGGGTCAGAGAGAGAGGGAGTCACAGACTCTTGAAACAGGCTCCAGGCTCTGAGCTGGCAGTCAGCACAGAGCTCGACGCGGGGCTCAAACCCATGAACCGCGAGATCATGACCTAAGCGAAAGTCGGATGCTTAACCGACTAAGCCACCCAGGCGCCCCTACACTAATCACATTTCAAGTGCTCAGAGCTACATATGGCTAATGGCTATTATACTGGACAGTGAGGATATAGAACCTTTTTTTTTTTTTTTTTTTTAAGAAAGAGAGAGTGTAAGTGGGTAAGAAGGGCAGAGGGGGAGAGAGAGAATCTCAAGCAGGCTCCATGTTCAACAAGGAGCCCAACATGGGGCTTGATCCTACAGTGCTGGGATCATGACCTGAGCTGAAATCTAGAGTCAGATACTCAACTGACTGAGACACCTAGGAGCCCCTAAACCATTTCCATCATGACAGAAAATTCTATTGGACAGTGTGTATAATCTATAGCAGGGGATGCCATACTTCTTTAAAGGGCCAGATAGTAAATAATTTAGGCTTTGCAACTCTGTTGCAACTACTAAACTTTGCCACTGTAGCATGAAATCAATCACAATGTGTGTGGCTGTGTTCCAATAAAACTTTATTTACAAAAACAGGCAGTGGGCCAGATTTGGTACATATGCAACCTCTGATCTATAGAATCAGTTCTGGGACACCTGAGTGGCCCAGTCAGTTAAGTGTTGGACTCTTGATTTCTGCTCCCATCATGACCAGACGGTTGTGAGATCGAGCCCAGCGTGGGGCTATGCACTAGGCTTGGGGCCTGCTTAGGATTCTCTCTCCCTCTTCCTCTGTCTCTTCCCCATTCTGTGTGCTTGGGCACCATCTCTAAAAAAAAAATAAAATAAAAAATCAGAAGTTCTTTCCAGGAAATTAATTGAGCTATAAGAATTAAGAAATGTGGGGACGCCTGGGTGGCTCAGTTGATTAAGCATCTGACTTCGGCTCAGATCATCTCACGGTTCATTGGGTTCAAGTCCCACATCAGGCTCTATGCTGTAGCTCAGAGCCTGGAGCCTTCTTCGGATTCTGTCTCCCTCTCTCTCTGCACCCCCCCAACTCACACTCTGTTTCTCTGTCTCTGTCTCTCTCACAAAAATAAACAAACATTAAAAAAAAACTTTTTTTTTAAAAAGATGAAGAAATCTGGCATTGCCTCAGTTGTGCAGGCAGTAAGCACTTATGTCCTACTAGCGCTACAACTATGTGGGACTCAGGTGGGTAAGGGGTAGAAACCTGGCCTTCTTCAATTTAATTCAGCCCATTCTGGGAACCTATAAAACATGGCATAAGAACAATCAGCAAGACTAAGTCAGACCTAAGTCTGTGATATCAGAGCAATGAAGTCCTCCAAAGAGCAAGGCTGGGCCAAGAGTAGGAAAGATTATGATTCAGGAAAATCCCCACGCGGGATGTAAGAAGCTGTCGCAAGGACTGCAGTGGGCTCTGATGCTGGGGGCATGTGGGTGCAGGTGGGGGGTGGAGGGGCTCACTCACGTGTGAAGCTGGCGGTTGTAGGAGCATTGAGACTGTCACAGCTGTCAGCACTGTCACTGCTGGAGATCTCATCATCTGAGTTGGAAACGGATGAGCCCACATCCACATCATCAAACTTCCTCTTGAGACTCGAGCCCATGAATGCATCCATTGGTTTCAAAGGGGTTTCCTCGGGGAGCCCACTGCGTTGGCCCCAAAGCCCCTGCTCACCACCAATTAGCCAGGCGCATTAGGATTCTGCCCAGGGGAAAAGAGCAATCAGCATTCCTACCCTGAGACAGACCCCTCCCAAGTCCATACATACAGCTCTCCAAGTGAAGACAGAAAAGTCCCTGAGCTCACACTGATGTCTGGTCTCTCGTGACTAGGTCATTTCTCTCCTTATTCTGGCCAACATTCTACTTCTGTTCCCCTTCAGTCCCAGTCACTCTTAGAATCTTGAGAGGAGTTAACAGCCGCACCCTTCCCAGCACAGTGAAGGTCTTCGGTTCCACCAGCCTGGGGATAATGGTAGCTGCCCTTGTGTTCACACAGGAGAGCTCCCCAAGGGGCCGGGAGGAGGGGCTGGGGATCAAAGGCAGAATTCGGCTGTGCCTAACTCTGACTAGATCCAATTATTTTTCCTGGTGAAAATTTAGCCTGGCTTTTCCCAAAGTGTATATATTAAATAAACTAGTTCCATGGATATTAACAGCTTCACATGGAAATAGGGCTGCTGTGTCCAAACAGTTTAGGAAAGTGCTATGAGAGGAGAGCTTGAAGGCCTTGAATATGCTAACAAGCACGGTGAAGGGTGAGGGCACACAGCGAGTGCAGTGTTCCCCACATCTGACTATGGAAGAATCTCGGGGTAGGGGGTGGGAGCAAATGAGCCTTGGAATGCATGCTGGGAGACATTGCTCTAGGCCCTAAATTTCAGAGAGTATCAGAGGCCAAAGAAACACTTTACCCAGATCTTCACAAGGGTGAAGATTCTCACCAGGCTGCTACAGAGATCAAATTTGGTTCTAAAGAATGGACTGAAGATTAATTAGAATCTGCACTGCCTTCGAAACCCAGAAGCTTTTCTGATCTCATACAGCTCCACAAAATAGGGCTCAGCGGGTCTATCATCATCCCCTGTGCGAGGAAAACTTAGCTTTACAACCTTAGGCCTCTGTAAAGAAACCAGCAAGGGGGAAACAAACAGCAAAGGAAGAGACAACGGACTCTGGTTACGTCAATATGGCAGGCAGTGTTTTCAACGTCACACTAGGGACAGTCCATTTCCCAGGTACAGATCTTTCTCCTTCGCCATCTTTGGACGTAAGTGCCCAAGAATATGAATCTGCTCGAAACAGAAACGCTGTCAGAGCTGGAGCCACATGTGATGATACGAAGCCTCCCTGCATTGCCTCAGTAATGCCAGAATCTCCCCAGACTATGATCTCACTAGTTGCTAATTATGCAGCAGCAATAACAACACTGCCCAGAAAGACAGGGCTGCATTACTGCAGAGCAGCTACCCAGAATATACTGACTGTGGTGTCAAGAGCTCCCGGCTACAGAGCTGTTTTTCTGGACTGAGTCAGAAGCAATTTGCCTGCTCCTGGATCAGCTCTACTTAGTCAACCAGACCTAATAGTACTTCAGTGAAGAGATGTCCTGATCTATCTATCCAGATCTCATCAAAATTCTGCATTCAAGTCACAAGAAGTACCTAGGAAACCTCAGCCATCATAGGTCTAGACAAGCATATTGCTGAAATAAAGTTGGCCAGGGAGGGGGGAAAAAAATAACCAAGTACTCGATGAGAATTGTAATGAAATTTAAAAAGGAACCCAAAGTATCAATTCTGTTCTTCGGGTAACTGATATTATCATCAGAGGTCACATTCCTCGGACATATTAAGAATGGTGAGAGCCAAGGACGTTTTAATGGGTTTATTGGAACGATTTTAGGTTTAAAGATACCTATTAACTAACAAATTTATTTCTTCCATCCTATTATGGAAGGAGGTAATCTTCCCAATTGAGAACTTATGTGGGTGCAATTAAAAAAAAAAAAGAGGGGAGCCTTGGTGGCTCAGTCGGTTAAGCATCCAACTTCAGCTCAGGTCATGATCTCACAGTTCGTGGGTTCGAGCCCCGTGTAGAGCTCTGTGCTGACAGCCAGCTCAGAGCCTGGAGCCTGTTTCAGCTGTGTCTCCCTCTCTCTCTGACCCTCCCTTGCTCACGCTGGCTGGCTGTCTCCCTCTCTCTCAGAAATAAATAAAAGATTTTAAAAAATGTTTAAAAAAAGAATATTGACCACTGAACTGAATTTTTCTTTCCCACTTAAAAATCTTATCAACCACAGAAAAACTTAGACTAAGATGAAAATCTGCTTTCTTAGAAAGGGCCTCCGTCCAGCTTCAGTTTTAACAGAGATCTTTAGTGTTGCTACCGGGAAGGTGGCTTTTTCCTTAGCTGGAAGCACGCGGGTCTCCGACCGGAAGCACGTGGGTCTCCCACCGGAAGCAAACCCTGCGCTCCTGATCTTTACTTGTGTCCCTTTGCTTCCAGTATTGCGGGCTCCCTTTGAGTACTTGTCTTTATGCCATGCATTAGGTTCGGTTTGGTCCCAAATCATCTTTATTATTAAAATTCTCACTGTCTTAACCCAGCTGCCCTCAGGGGTATCACTTCCTCTGGTGCAAGGACTGCTGGCTGCTCGCTCCTTTCTCCTTCGCCCCTTTTTCTAGGTCTTCCCCACTTCCACTTCTGGAATAGTGCCTTCTGGGCAGTGATAAGTGGCAGATAAGAAAAGGGGGGGGGGGAGAAAGAAAAGATGTGAAAACTAGGAGAGAGATATTTTCCTTATGCTGGAGAATAATCTGAGCCTGTGGCTCTATGTGTAAATACTGCGCATACTGGTTTAGCTCTCCTAACCCTGCCCGCGATCTGTTTGCATCACTTTTTCACTCCATTTTATACATATATGTATGTATATATATATGTGTATATATACATGTATATATACATACATATATGTGTGTATATATACATACATACACATACACACACACACACACACACACACACACAATCCATCGATTCTGTGCTGACAACCAATATAAGTTTAAATTTCAACCCAGCCTTCCTTATCCAACTCTGGGGTGAACTTGACTTGTCAGACAAAGATACTCACTGGGCATCAAGAACAAACCTCCCATCCATTTCCCACAGTGGCCTGAAGAGACCTTTCTTTGCAACAGAAACAACTAGAATAGGTTCCACACTTTCCAGTCCATCAAATCAACCTCTCTTCACACCACAATTAGCAATCAGTCATTCCCACCTCTCTCAACCATTCATTGGCAAAGGATCAATGCCTGTGTTCAAGAGAAACACTTGTAAGTTATACTCCAAGCACTTAAACCCAGACAGAAATAATGAAGGTGAGACTGGACGTGCAGGTCATAACTGACAGTTAACTGTCAAAATGACCAATTCAAACAACAAATGCTTTTGGAGAAAACAACGCAAACCTCTATAAAAGCTTTTTAATGACAGTTAAATGAAAGACCAGTTGATACTTTCTTGGCTACATGCCTTACGGTCTTTTCTCAAGTGTTTCTAGCTGAATATTTCCCAATGGTATATGGAATAACTCATATCCACAGTATATAGAAGATATTAGGCTAGCACCAAATAAAGATCTATAGCATGTGTGCATCTTAGTACTAGATCTAAGACTTTCCAGTACTGTAGGATTCCTGTAACAACTCCCCAAATAACAAAACAGTTTATGTGAGACTACCAAAAGAGGGACTGTCCAGAAATAATTTTGTGAGTTCAGAATGTATTTGCAAAGTTTAGGTAACAAAGGCCTCTCTCTTAAATGAGTATAAAACGACAAGACAAGGTGTATCTCATAGGAGAAAGCCTCTCCAGTCCACTGGAGCCCAACCTTCTGCTAAAGGTCAAGAGACCAAAATCTCTGGTAAGATCGTCAGGGTTATCTTCCGTAGCTGGGTTAGAGGAAGGAAGGCTTGCTGCTGCTAATTGTTAGGATAAATGTGAATAAGACGACCGGCCCTATTTCTCCTTTTACAAGATATTGTAGCTGATTCTCAAATACTATCAATTTCTTGGATCCATGTGTCCTTGTGATTACCACGATGACGAACATATAAGGTGCTTAAGTGCAAACGTACTGTTTAACCTAGGTATTTTAGGGAAGCCCCCCCCCCCCCAGCGCTCCCCTTTTCTTTCTTTTCTTTTTTAACCCATTCACTGACACAAGTTTAGAATTTGGCTTTCCATGTCTAAACTACCAGCCTATGAAGGACACCAGATCTTCGTGGGAGATGAGGAACATGATGCCGCAGGAACCATTAACTCTCAAGGATACCCAGTCATTTATAACTCTGGCACACACCAATGGCGTCCTGGCTTTGGAAATTAGCAAGATGTAAAGTCAGAAAAGAACATGAAAATGTGAATCAACTATGGATTTACCTTAAACTGAAAACTGCAGGACAAGAGGACACTGGGTCTCTTGGGGATAACTTCTAACATTTCATATTGAAGAACGGTTTGTGTGTCACACTGCCACTCTAACCCCTTTAAAAAAATAAATCAAGACCATGGCACTTAAAGGAATGGATGGCAGTCAGCTGCGTGTTTGGGCCTGTGAAAAGCGATCAAGCTAGCAACCAGGGCAAGCGATGCTTTCGTTTTTCCCCACAACGCCAGAAAAATGGGAGACATCAGGAACCTGGGCTGGAAGGACATGTCAAGGCATCAGTTCCCTTTAATGGACACCCCCTGCTGAACCCTTCAGCTCCCGACCCATTTCTCTGATTCCTAACCTTCCCGCTTACTCCAATCGTCTGCAGCCCCTGCCCAGCCTTCCTCATCCCTTCCTGCCTGCTACTCACAAATTCCCAACCACTCCTCCCACATTTTCCTCTATTCGCCCTCCCCTTCCTTTACTTCCCTCCATCCTACATCATCTCCACTCCATTCCGAACTCAACCCTCATCCGCAATCCTGCCAGCTTCCAAGCAGCCCATCGGTCTTCCCTGAGTTGCCCCCGCAGTCTGGGCCCGCGTCCTCCGTGCCCCTAGCTCCCACGCCTCTCCCGACTCTTTCCCTTCTCAGCGGCGCCCTGGCTCCCCGCCCCCCGACCGCTCCCGTCCGAGCCTCCCTCATTTCTGACCCCTCCATCCGCGTAGCTCTGGGTTGACCACTCCTCCACAGCCGCCCGAGGGCCGATCCCGAGAAAGGACGAGGCGGCACCCTCCGCCCCGCACCCCCAGGCCCATTACCGGCCCCGCCGCAGCTGCCTCCTCCCGTGATGGTCTCTGCCGCCCCCGCTGCCGCCGCCGCCGCCGCCCTAGCCCGGGTGGGAAGGAGAGAGGAGAGAGCGAGTCCCGGGCCCGCGGCGACGGTCGGGGAGTTCCCAGGGCGGCAGGGCTGGGAGGGAGGGCGGGTGGGCAGGTCGGCCGGCAGGCGGCGGAGGGCGGGCGGCTCCAGCAAACTCAGGCGCCCCCGGTAGCAGACGCCCAGAACCGCCCCGGCTCCGGCTAACAATAGGCTCCGGCCGCAGCGCTCTGGCTCTTATAGGCGCCGGCACGTCCTGACCGAACCCCGGAGCATGCTGGGAAATGGAGTCTACGTGTCGGCCCTACGCCCGCGGCATGCCGGGAGTTGAAGGCGGCGACAGGCACAGAGCCGAAAGTCGCCGGCAGACAGGCTTTGGAGGCGGTGTCTCTGCTGCAGTGGACCCTGGGAAAGCGAGTTGGGCGCCGCTGCAGCCTTTTGAAGAGGAAGAGGGAGAGCCTCAGCTACAGATCTTCAATGACTAAACGAATCTGCATCTAAAGCTCCCCTTTTTCTTTCGCCAGACCACACTCCTATGCATAAAGAACATAATCCCTCTTATGCTCGCTCATGGAAGCTTAGCCTTCAACAGCATGGCATGCTGCAGCCTGCCCAAGGTATAGGGAAGAAGATACAACGTATTGAGTTCCTGCAATACGTATTGACTGGTTGATGTGTTTTCTGTCAAAAATATTCCTACATGATCTCTGATCTTCACAACTTTGCAACTCATTTGGGGAAAACGAAAACCCAGAAGTCAAGTTATATATGTCATTTGCCAAGGACACCCCAGCATTGGTTTCTGATCTCACTCAGAATAGACGTGTATGTCTCTTTCCTTGACTTATAAGGCCGTACAAGATATTGATATATCCTCTCTCCCTACCATCCTGTCATCTTGTTTCCTTCTACTTTCCCCCTCCTGTACTCTGCTTCAACTACACTGGACCACTGGCCTCCTTGCAGTTCCTTCAACAATCATGCTCTCACCTCAGGGCTTTTTCCTTAAAACACATTCGTTCCCTAGCAAGCCACATATATATTCCTCCACTTAATATTTGCACAAATGTCCCCATATCAGACTTCCTTAACCATTAAAAAAAAAAAATGGTGCTTAGTCTCTATCCCCTTGGCTTATATTTCTTCGTAGCATTTACCACCTAATGTATATTTTTCAGTCTTCTCTCACTTGACTAAATTCCATGAGAGCAAGGAATTGCTTTGTTTACTGTATTGTGAGCACTGAGTACAAAGCCTGGTATTTGACACTTAGGAACTCACTAGATATTTACTGCATATTTATTGGATGGATGGCAGGACTTAAACTCAGGTTAGACTGGTTCCATAGGCTAGAGCGGCCTTCACTGCAACCAAGAACTATGGAGCCAGATGGTGGCCAAACCATCTCAGTTTTAGAACTGACAAGTTGGCTGGTTTGGACAAAAGGCCAAAAATTCCAGTCCTCTCACCCTAGTGACAGCAGAGGCTCCATTAGGTTAGGAAACAACAGAGCAAGTTGGAAAGGGAGATCACAAAAAAGCAGTCCTCAGTGTACCATGCACTGACCATCTTCGTATCTGCTGAAATTTAGGTATGATTTAACATGTGCTCTGGAGCCAGGCTGCCTAGGTACAAACCCAACTTCTCCACTCCGTGGTATGACCCTCGGCGAGGTACAGTAACTTCTCTTGCCTTCACTTCCTTATCTGCAAGAGCAGTATGTATCTTATAGGATTTTATGGAGATTAAATAGTTAATATAGTATAAATGTTTACAATGTAGTCAGTGACATGTAAATGTTCATGATCCTATCTTTCCTGGACACACAGGTAACAAAAAGAGAAAGCCCCAGACCACTCTGTAGTATTAGTGAATACAGAGTTACAAAACAACACCAAAAGGCCATGTTGGATAGGCTGTAAAAGTGTCTCAGATGCCTACACATCTACAGTTTGAGTTATGGAAATTCATCAGGGTCCCATCAGCCTCAATGCCCATGATTTGTAGATTTATGAAAGCAAATTAGAAGATAGCCAAACCAAAGTTAGCAGAGCCTTTGAAAAGGTAGCAGAATTCGATTTGGCAATAAGCTCCATATCAGTCAGAAGATCATCTGGACCTGTAACAAATATCACAACTCTATAGAGTCACTTATTTACCATATTTCATTGTCTTGATAAAATCACTAGAGAAATTATTACAACGGTGCCAGTTCACCCAGAATTGTAATTCTGGCAAATGAAGACCAGGATGCTCAAATGCAGAATAGAAACTACCAAGAAAAGTGAAAAGAAATGCTAATAGCATTCCATGTCTAATTCTAAATGTTACTGCTTTCTTTGAAACCACGCTGCAACATAGTATGAACCAGCTCAGAAGGCACAAATCAGGAATGGTGGTTTGTTTTGGGGGCAAAAATGTCAAAGCAACACAGGAAGACACACAACCAGGAACAGCAGCTGTAGATGAAAACCAAAGGTCAGATTTCATGTCCTGGGCAGTGTTTACATATCTGTCTTGAATTTATGTCTACATGTAGAGGTGATCTTGTAATCAGTAGTATCCTAAGTCTACTGAGCAATTGGATAAGTGTACTAAACACAAAATAAAACTGTTGTATACTCATTATTCCTTTTTAATCTTCCCAACAATCCTATGAATTAAGTATTATATCCTTTTTAAGATGAGAAAGCGGAGGTTTAAGAGAATATTTTGTTCAAGGTCACATCCAGGAAAAGCAAGATCTGAGATTTGAAAGTCAGGCTTATCTGACACCAAAGTATATATATTGTATCAACTATTCTTTACCACCAAAACAAAGTATATATATTGTATCAACCAATCTATATCACCAAAGTATATATATTGTATCAACTATTCTTTACCACCAATACACTCTCCAGGGGGGTTGAATGTTAATAGGTCAGAGGATACTAAGTGCTAATCTTCTTAGAGAAAAAGAGTTAACCTGCAGATTTAGCCCTGATGTTGCCATTATTTTACTAATTTACAGTTAATTGTAATCCAGATCTAAACAGGCAGGCACTTCTTTGTGACTCACTGCACAAAGAGATCAGTATAATAAGTAAATCAGTAAACATTAAACAATCAGCATAATAACAAAAAGAGATCGGAATGCACAAATCTGGGGGAAAGTGCCATAGCAATTTAAAACAACAAAACAACAAAAAAGCTGTATGATTCAGAAGATTTAAAAATGGACACACAGAAAATGATCTCTGTGTGTGCACAACACACACCCTCTTTTAAAAAGCAAACAATTAGTGGGTAGAGTGCAGAAGTGGGTTTAGGGAGGGCCTGCTTATCAAACCTAAAGGAAGTGAATTAAAGTCTGAAGCAAAATTATAAAGATGTGTAGTGAGAGGTAAATGAAAAATCAGGCATTAGAATTCACGAAGAAAACAGGCATCTAGCGATTAAGATGAGGAATGTATACCTCATATTATGCAAACATATGAAAATGCAGATTCCATGATAGATAACTGGTTATTACTCATGCCCTTAATGACCCTATACAGTACAAAATAGTGCAATTATATGAATACAATAGTATTTTTTAAATAACAAAAAATTTTTAATGTTTTTTTTTCTGTTTATTTCTGAGAGAGAGAGAGACAGCGTGAGCAAGGGAGGGTCAGAGAGAGAGGGAGATACAGAATCTGAAGCAGGCCCCAGGTTCTGAGCTAGCTGTCAGCACAGAGCCCGATGTGGGGCTCAAACCCATGAGTCATGAGATAATGACCTGGGCCAAAGTCAGACACTTAACCAACTGAGCCACCCAGGTGTCCCTAGCAAGTCTCCTTCCAAATCGCATTAATCCAACTGAAAAATGTAATTTCTATAGAACTTTAGAACCTCTGAATTTGATAATGTAAATGCTAGACTTAGGTGCAATTTGTTCAGTAGACCCCTGTTCATAAGGAACAACACAGAGGAGATCTAGAAGTAAAAAAGGAAAGATAAAGAAAAAGAGGAAGTGGAAATAGATGGACATTTAAAGTCAAAGTAAAATACAAGCTCATTAAATGAAGCAATAAGGAGAAATAAAATATTAACGGTACAGAAAAAAACAGATGCTGATGGCATTGTTCGTATGTCACATAGGGCATCTTTTCTCCAGTTCACTCCATTTTACAGTGATAGTAAATTCTTCCTCATTTAAGCCTTGAAGCTTGTATAATGAAACAGATTTAATCACAAACTAAAAATAAATATTCTAGCTTTAGTAAAAGTGCAACTGAGAAAAGAGATCATTTTTTAGAAGTAGAATGATGGAGGATACTGTGTGAATTAGTATCTAAATGATGCAGCTAGGTGGGGCATTTGTGCCATTCCTGTTGAGACTGGACTTCTCATAACAGACCAGTAGAGGCAACAACAGATCAGATTCCTATAGAGGAACCACCCATGACCAAGGAAGTCGAAGAACAATTCAGTTAAATGATTAAACTTCTCAACTTCAGCTCCCTGATCATGCTATCTGAAATTGTTAGGTATTGGCCAGAGGAAAAAAGCGACAGTGAACAAGAGATAAGCTTAGTCTTGAGTTCAAATTATTTGCACCCCAAATTTGTATTACTTTCAAAACTCAATGCTGAACCTTCATTCACTTTATAGTAGTTTGTGAGACAGCCCAAATCTCTTCAGCAACCCTACACAAAAGACTTGCTGAGAATAAATACTTGGGGATACAAAGGGTTTTCAGAACACTCCTCCATTAGGCATAAATTCGAAAGGACAGGTGGCTCAGCACAGTTAAGTGTCTGACTCTTGATTTCAACCCAGGTCAAGATCTCACAGTTCATGAGATCAAGCCCCACATTGGGCTCTGAGCTGACAGCACAGAGCCTGCTTGGGATTCTCCCTTCCTCCTTCTGCCCCTCCCCCACTCACATGCACACTCTCTCAAAAGAAACATTTAAAAAGTATATTAAGACAAGAAAATAAAAGAAATGACAAGTTCTATTTTGCCAGGCCTTCTTTACTCACCAAGCTTCCCCATGCTCAAGTGGTGAGATCACGTTCTATCCTTGACAACACCCCCAGGGCCTACCTGTGCCTGATGTCCAGGAATCAGAATGTCTGCCCCCTTGTATGGACCGCACTGTCTCACATCTCTCAGACTCTGGTTGTCTTGTATTGGGTGCAGTGTAATCTCTCTCCAGGTACTATGACCATCTC